ACATTTTATTGGTGTTAAGTGAATATGCTAAAAAGGTTACCTGGACATTTCAAGAAATTTACCTTAACACCCTAAGAATGTTAAATTAACCAAATTAGCAGATTAGAACAAATATTCTTATTTTGTTCATTTGACTGTTATTTGTTGTTCAATTAAACAATACAATTTGACATTTTTAGATGGTTAAGTAAACGTGCAAAAACCATTGCTTGTATTTAAAGTGCAAAAAGAGTTGAATTAATATTTTTTTTGTTGTTTCAACAGCTTATTTTTTTCAGTGTATGTACTGGAATTGGCAATCGTTTTTTATTCTTATTTAGCTTATACTTTGCGTTAAATTATTTTAATTTTCAAGTATGTGTTTCGCATTACTTTCGACACCTTCCCCTTTTCTCTGTGGTGGTTCTGGTATACCCTTTATACAAAACGGTGAAGGAAGCATATTAACTGCCTCGCTCAGATCTACAGCTTCAGTTGTACTATTTTCTAATACCAATGTTGTCAGCTGTTGACATTTAAGTGTCAAAAGAAGATAATTTTTTATAGTATACCTATTACAAGGGCCGAAAGTTGAATTTTCGGCCCGAGATTTCAACGTTTGGCCCGTGTGGTGTATACTATTTTTCTTCATACGTCGGTCGAAAGTACTTACTTTCGTCCCTAATAGCAGTGACGAAAGTTTACTTCGGTCAAAAGTACGTACTTTCGTCCCTATTATAATAGCACAGGGAGTAAATGTTAAACTTTCGTCCCTGCTATTAGGGACGAAGGTAAGTACTTTCGAACAAGGTATGAAGAAAAAAGTTTTTTCACTCCTATTTTTGCTAAATAAAAACAAATTAAATAATTTGTATAAAAAAAAATTATTTTATTTTTATTGTTATTTAATATTTAATTTTTATTCTATTTAAATATTCCTATTATGCGCCTATTGAGTAAACTAGCCTAATAAAGTGTGTTTTAATATGAAGAGAAGTTACTACTCTATATGAGTACCTTAGATGCAAAACTCGGTTTTTGCAAATTAAAAAATAAAATAAAATTGACTTTAAATTCTGTTTGGTGTTCGTCCTAGATAAATGGCGTTTATAAAACTTGATACATAATAATATATATAATATAATATTATTATGTATCAAGTTTTATGAACGCCATTTATCTAGGACGAACACTAAACAGAATTTAAAGTCAATTTTATTTTATTTTTTAATTTGCAAAAACCGAGTTTTGCATCTAAGGTACTCATATATTAAAAGTTTTAATTTAAAATACACTTTATTATACAGTTTACTCGTAAAGCGCATAATACAAATATTTTAAGTTAGGCCGCTTTGCAGTATACGCCTCAATTTATTCTTTAAGGATATAAACAAATTTTATTTCCACCTTCTTAGTAAATGACATTTTATAGGTTAATTTTGTTGTTTTTGTATCCAAGTAAACAATACATTATGGGTGCTTTCCTTTTGCCACGATTCTTAGATATTCTTACCTCACCTTGGTTTATCTCACTTTAGAGACCGTTCCATTTGCAAAATGACAGGTAAGCCAAAGTGAGAATTTTACCTCCCCCCTTACCGATCAAGCACAACCTCCGGAGCACACTTACAAATGAGAAATTTTGATTACTTGGTGGTGGGGATAGATGCACGCCAAAAAGTGAGGTTGTACACTTTGTATCAAACAAAACAGAAGAAAATTAAAACAATATTAGTGATGGGCATAATCGGATTATATCAATAACCGATTATATCCGATACGATTATTTCAATAATCGGATGATAATTCGATTAAATAATAGCATACTTTCATTCGGATTTCAATATCGGAATAATTTAATCGAATTGATAATTCGAATTAAGAAATCCGCGATTATTAATCGCATATTTTCATTCGGATTTCAAATTGAATGATTCATTCGGCGACTAGAATACCTACAATTGTAGGTATGACTATTTAAATAGTAATTTACGATTACGATGATACGATACGATTAAACTAGTATTTTCAGAATCGCTGCTGAATATTACATTTACTACATTCTATAAAATTAAAGAATAAAAAAAAATGGTATTTATTATTGTTTAAATTGGATTTATATTTTTAACTACCTGTATTATTTGATTCGACATTTTGTTCGTTAAGTCTTTAATCTTTGCGTTAAACCGTTGAGGGAAATGGTTAAACCACAGAACATAAAGCCTGAATTATAGATTGCCTTCCTTCCTTCCTTCCTTCCTCCCGTAGAAGATGAACATTACGTAATTGTCACCATTAACATTTCCCGTTTAGGTATTTTTAATACTTTGTCATAAAATTTTGCAATTACAGTAATAAAAAAAAATCAAAGAATAAAATATTTTCTTAACAAATTCATATTTTTAAGTAATTTTAATATTTTAAATTATCAATTATTGTTAAGTTTAATTAAAATTAATAACGGGCAATGTTAATGGTAACAATTACGTCAAAAATGTTTATTTAAATCGCATTGCCAGTTAAAGATTTCCGTACCGTACGGGCACGACTACGGGAGGAAGGAAGGAAGGCAATCTATAATTCAGGCTTAAGGGTTAAACTGTCAAGTGTCACTTTTAGAGAAAATAGGCTTACCAACCGTTCCTTTGGTCTATTTTAGGTTAGATGAGTGCGCGTAAGTGGCCTCGCTTATCTCACTTTTGCTTGGCTCACTTCAAAAATGAAAGGAAAGCACCTTATGTAAACAGACCTGTAATATTTTACGGGCTTATGAGCCCGTATATATATATAAAAGACCTGTAAAGTTTTACAGGCTTGTAGAAAAGCAATTTATTAAATGAAATGTCACTTTTGACACATTAAATGACATTTTAAATTTGAAAATCGTTATCTAAAGGTGAAAATAAAAGTTTGTACGTGTCACGCTTTGCAATTAATCTTTATTAGGCTCACTGGATTATGGGGTTCGCTCCTGCGTCGCTTACCCCACAAACTTCCAGCTCGCCCATAAAAATTCATTTACAAAGCTTGACACGTAAATAACTATTACCTACATACCTACGGTACAGATAAAAATAAAATAATTATAAATGTCAAAATTTATAGAAATTATATATAAAATTATTATGGTATTGAAAAATATAAAGCCACTTGTTTACACTATAAGATTTTTTCATACGTGCAAAAAAGTTTCGCTTTATATTCTTGTTGCATAATAGTAATTTATTATAACAAGAAACATTTTATAGAATAGTCAGTTTTTATAAAAACATATTTTCGGTTGGGTAAAATTAAAAAAAAATTACAAAAAAAGTTTTTAGTTAAAATACCAGTCAAATCAAAAGGGGTCAGGTCCAAAACTCACGAGTATTTGCGTATTATCATCATGAGTTGACCAGGAAATCCCGATTGTTATCCAGGATATATCTTAAAAGCATATAAACGGAAAAATAGCCCGTTAAAGTTGGAACAAAAAATAGTTTTTACCTCATAACTTTTAAAGACAGATGACAGGTGACAGTTGACAGATGCCAGATGTGTCTGGACGCTGGTGGAATGCATCTCAAACATTTGTTATGAATTTGTTAAGATCAATTAAACTGAATTGCTTAATTTTTAATTAACTTAATTTCATTTATAATTGCTAACATGTTTTTTCAAATATCTCGAAAACGAGGCCTCTATTTAAAATTCTTTTTCTTCCAAATTTAACATAGATATATCTATGTTAAATTAAATATATATAATAATTATATTAATTAAATATATATATTATCAATTTTTAAAAATAACCAGGGGCTGAAAATAGAGAAGAAAAAGGAAAGGCACACCCCTTTATTAGATATTATAATTTTAGTAAACTTTGGTAAATTTGAACAAAATCGGTTGAGTGGTTCAAAAAAACGATCTTTTTTAACTTTGACGACCTATCTCCGTTATTATGACTTTGAGATATATGTTATCCCAATCAAATCGTCTTATTTTTGGAGTTTTATCGATCCTGAAAAATTGTTAGTTAAAACCTGAACCACACTTTATATACAAAAAAAGTTTATATACAAAAGTGCTCTTTTAGTTCCACCCTTACTTCTTAAGAAGTCCCATAAGCCAACTGAATGGCTTGTGCGGGTTAGGGTTAGGAAAGGACCGCGGGCTTAAGGTCCAGCAGGTTAGCAGCACTAACCACTAGACCACCGTCGGCGATATATGTACGTATAATTTTTATTTACATTTTAATCTTTATTCATAACGGCCGCGGCCTCTTTGACTTGATTATAAATATGTTTAGGACCCTTATGGCCGTATGGACAAAACGTTTTACTAAAACGTTTTGTCCATAAATATTAATAAAAAATAGCAATAAAGAAATTTAGGTTTGTTTTATATTTAATTAAGACAATTAAGTGAGCCACTAAGAAATACGATTTCTAACTAATCCTTGACTAAAACGGTTTTAGTCAAGGATTAGTTAGAAATCGTATTTCTTAGTGGCTCACTTAATTGTCTTAATTAAATATAAAACAAACCTAAATTTGTTTATTGCTATTTTTTATTAATATTTATTGCAAAATAAAGTAAAATCAACTGTCTAAAATTAATTATAATTTTTTCTTACAACATACATTTTATTCCAGGACGGTTCTCCAGTTTCCAACAGCTCCATTTGTGTACTAAAAATCGAAAATATTACTGTCACGAAAACAAGAAGATTAAATACAGGAGGAGTAACTTGCAAAATGCTTGTGTGCACACCATAGAAATAATACTTATTATAATATTATTTCTATGGTGCACACTATGTGTCTGTGAGCATTGAATGACAGCTATGCGCGGTGAGCACTTTGTAGTCACTTATGTAGTCCTTTATTAAACATATCTACCTGGTTCTGACAGGCCTTGCCCTTGATGCAGACTGCTTCTGGGGAGCCCTGATTGCGAATTGCAACAAACAAAATTAAATCATACCGTATTTTCTATAATTTTATTAATTACAAATATAATGGTTCTTATTTTACTGCTTACCTAGAACTGCCTATCCTTGTTAAGAACGAAGAAAATTTGCTAAAAAATATTGAGACAGAGATTTAATGTTATTGAGGAGTTAATCTCCAACTTCTTTTCTTAATAATAATATTTTACGTGTAATTAATTTTGAAAAAAGCATGTCGCGACATCATATCGCCGATATGTTTTTTTAGGAAGGTCAAAAATAAATATTGTCTCTAATGTTTGTTTGCAAATATATATATATATATATTAGGGTGGATTGAAAACAAAATGTTTGTTTTTTTCTTAGCATGGGGGTAGAATTTGTACCTTATAAAAAAAGAAAATTTATCAAACATTTTTTTTTTACTCAACTTCTTGAGGTGGCCCACTCGTTTTTTAAATAAATATTTAATCAAATGGGGTAGTTCCAACGGGAAATTCTTTTTTTTGTTCTAGAATCTGTACGGTGTCCCCTTAAAAGCCAATTGGAAGTCAAAAGTTGAAAAAGTTTTTTTCCCATTGTTTTTGTAATTTAAGTAAAAAATTAAAACATGAAATGCACTTTCTTTTGTATTAGAATGAAAGTTGAGTGAAAAAAAATAACATTCTACAATGTATACATGTTTTCCATGATTTTGGACCAAAAAAAGAATTTCCCGTTGGAACTACCCCATTTAATTAAATATTAATTTAAAAAACGAGTGGGCCACCTCAAGATGTTGAGAAAATTTTTTTTTCTTTTGAAAAATTTTCTTTTTATATATATTTATACATTCATACCATTCAAACTGGTTTTTGTTTTTGAAAATCGGATAAGGAATAACGATGCTACAGCAATGGCCGTTGTTTATGCTGTCCTCTATATATATATATATATATATATATATATATATATATTATATAATTTTAAAATACATTATGTAGAAAATTTTTAATAAAAATCCCCGTGTGAAAATAAGTGTAATAATGGTAACTAAAATTATATTAATACATTATAAAAATGGTTTTCCCGCTCTTACAGGCGCCTATGCTTTTATTTCTACACTTACCTGGATGGAGTGGGCTGTAAAGGCTGTAAAGTTCGTCTGCAAAAAATAGACGTTTAATATCAACAATCAATGAACACATTAATGAATGATTATTTTAGGTTACTTAACATTTACAAATGAGTTCGGTTTTGTACGCCGTGTGCTGCGCATCGCTCGATGAAAAGTGTGAAACATAGCTGACTTTATGGTCACATGGACTAGATTCCAAGCACCAAGGTTGAAAATACCGAAATTAGAAAGAAAGAAGAAGAAGAAGAACATTTACTAATTTGCACTATTTAATATATACATATATTATATATTATTATTTAAAAAAATAGATTATGAAGTTACTTTAAATTCAAGATTATTTAATTTATGTTGTATAATCGATGTTTTTCGTTCCCATTTTTTGTTTAAATTTGTCAAATTCGTTGCAACGTGATATACCAAGTACTTCGGTAATATTTATTTAATTTTTTTTTATTTAAAATTTATTTAAATGAAGGCTTTGGGCGTATCGGGAAAATGTTACTGTTGGATAGAGAGTTACATAACCTCAAGAAAACAAACAATTATCTTACATAATCAATACAAGTCTGAGAAAATTCAGGTTACTTCAGGTGTACCACAAGAAGGGCAAATTTTCCCTCTCTTATTTAATTGTTCATAAATGATATAGGCAATGGTGTTAAATTTTGTAAATATCTTTTATTTGCCGACGTCGTCGGCCCGACGATCTTAAATTATACAAAGAAGTAAATTTCTTAAGAGACTTTTTGGATATTCAATCAGATTTAAATCAAATTCAACTGTGGTGTAATACAAATGAAATGAAATGAAATGTAGATAAATGTAAATATATTAGTTTTTATAGAAACATGAATTCTGTGATATATCCGTACTCATTAAATAATATAATTTTAGAAAACGTTCATGTCATAAAAGACTTAGGTGTTCACTTTGATAAAAAAGTGACATTTGGCTACCATGTTGATTTTATTGTGAATAAGGCTTTTAAAATGCTAGGATTTGTTAAAAGAAGTATGAAAGAATTTAATGTTCAATGTGTTAAAACTGTTTATATGTCCTACGTACGTAGCAATTTAGAATATTGTTGTGTAATTTGGTCCCCATTCTATGTTAATTCTTCCATAAAAATTGAAAAAGTCCAAAACAAATTGCGATTTTGTGAATTTAAATTAAGTATTGAGTGTAAATACAGTTTAGAATTAGTAAGAAATGCAATTCAACTGAATTTACTAAGTCGTAGGAGAACAGAAATAGGTGTTGTTTTTCTATTTAAATTGTTTAATAACTTTATAAACTGCCCCGACTTGTTAGCGCAAATTAATTTTAATACCCCGATAAAAAAGTACAGAACAGAATATGCTAAATTCATGCCTATAAGTAGAATATGCTTTGATGTAAAAAACCTTGATTTGGACTTTTTTAATTGCTCAAGTATTCAAGAAACAATGTAATTATAAAATTAATTGTTATCAATCCTAATTGTGGACATTTTAATGTATTTTTTTTGTAAGTGGTTTAATACCGTCAATAAAGTTATTATTATTATTATAATTATTAATTTTAAAATATATAGATTATTTGTAATAACTATTCCCGCGTAAAAATAATTACAATAATGGTAACTGAAATAATATTAATTCATTATAAAAATGGTTTTCCCGCTCGTATAGGCGCGCCTATGCTTCTCTTTCTACACTTGCCTGGATGGAGTGGGTATCAAAGGCAGAGAAGGCCGTCTGCAAAAAAATACACGGTTTAATATCAAGTATCAATGAACAAATTAATAAATAATTAATTGAGGTTACATAACATTTAAGCCAAGTTGCATTTTTTTATGAGCATAACGTTATAAATTGTTCGGCTATATAGAAAGATTTAATTTTCCGCAGTAATGCTTGTAGATTTTCCTGTATTTATTAGTTCTGCACAAAATATCATCTTTCTTGGATACTATCAGGAAATTTAATATTACCTAGGGCTGACCCAACTGGTCTGTTGATCCCGACCCCTTCCTGATAATGGACCTTCAGGACTTCTGCAATGAAAAACACTTGTACATGAAAACATAATTATCGCAAACCAGTATTTTCAAAGCTTTTTACACGTCCACAAATTGGGTTTAAACTTAATCTATTATGATAAATTAAATGGTCAAATATATTTTTATTGAACAGTAGGTTTCACCAATGAGAGAGTCATCCTAATTTTTTTTAACTTTGATGTTTTTTAATTTTATTTTTTTTATGAACAATTACGTTTTGATGCAATTTTTTTTTCAAATTCATTTGACTAAACAGCCATTCCACGCTACTCGGGATTTTTGTAGCGTCCGTTACAATAAAAAATTGTGATTAAAAGCTAACGTAATTAAATTAAATACTGTTACAATAGTTAATATTGCAAACATGTTTATTATGCTTTTAATAATTAGGCTTAAACTTATAAGCATAATAATTACGGTAGTTTTACTCACAGTTTTTGATTGTAACGGACGCTACAAAAATTCCCGAGTGGCGTGGAATGGCTGTAAACTTTATGAAATTTTCTACGTAAGATTTAAACTTTGAGAAATTAATTTTTAATAATTTAACAATAAGGAATCATTAGTTAAATAAATAAATTGCATTAAAACATGTTCTCAATAGGTTCATATTTTCGTAAACTTCGTGTATTACAAAAAATATTTGTTATTGAAAATAAGCCTATTCGTAATTATATCTCGGAAACTATCCGAGATAGCAAATGAATAATTTAATCTTGTAGCAAATTTTATAGTAAGTTATTATATTATAAGGGCATCTAATTTTTCCGAAAAAAATCGAAAAAACACGTTGCTAAGTAATATTTTAACAAGCATTTTGTTAAAAAATATTACTTAGCATTGTGTTTTTTCGATTTTTTTCACAGGAAAAATTAGATGCCCGAATGGTATTTGACAAGACTATTTCATGAGTGACAGTTAACAATTTAAAAAAATTTGCAATTTTTGGTAACAACAGCTGTCAAGTTTTGCCGCGGGTAAACTCGAAAAAACTGCTGACAGGTGCTGTCATACAGTTTTTCCACCTAGAAACCATTCACTCAGAGAAATATCATGTCATGAAAAGCATATGAAATTATATTAATTTAAATAATCGGGTAAATTTGATTCAAATAGAAAAATTTGTAGTTTTATATTCATTTACCAACAGTTTTACAATGTTTTTAAACACTTTTTATGTTTACCCTCTTTAAAATATATATACAAAAAGAAATCTATTTATTTCATTACCTTTCTCAACGTTGTTTCAAAAAGATATGTATTATACAATTATTATACACCTATTAGTTTAATGGGACACACCAATGACGCCAAAACATATTTGAATCCCTTTGAATTATTATCGTTTTGAATGATTCTACAACATTTTTTCTCTCAGTGTTTGTAATTCAAAATTGCGCGTTTGTGATTGGTGGAAATTAAGACGAGGGAAATAGTCACAGATATCTCTATTGTGGTTGAATTATGAAAAAATATTGTTCCTAAAGTCCAAATATCGTTACGCTTAAGTAGAAAATTTCACAAAGTTTCATCAACAGTTTGGGAGGAAATGAATTAAAAAAACATGCTTAAAAAAGTAATTATTCATAAAAAAATGAAAAACCAAAATTTAAAAAAAAATCTGATCTAAATAATAATTTTCTCAAAGTTAAAATTAAGTAGAAAATAAATAAAAAAACATGCTTAAAAAAGAAATTGTTCATAAAAAATGAAAAATCAAAATTTTTAAAACAAATTTTAGGATGAATTTCTTATCTGTAAAACTAAAAAATAATTTTTTTAAAGTTCAAATATCAATTCGCTTACGTAGAAAATTTCAAAAAGTCTTCATCAAATACTTTGGGAGAAAATAAATTTTGAAAAAAAAACTTGCTTAAAAAAGTACCTAATAATTATAATTATTGTTATAATATTTAATATAATAATTTTTGTTTTAAATTTTAAGATGACTTTCTCATCTGTAAAACTTACTATTTATGTCTTTTTGAGTAAAATTTCCGACTTGACCGAAATTGGAGGTAATTTTTATCCAGAATGGATCAAAGAATTTGTATCCAATTTTGCTTAAAAAATTAAATAAATTCTGTGAAATGTTAACAAAGGCCTATAGTGAGTCTCCTATAAGTAAAACAAGAGTTTACAAGTGGTATAAGAGTTTCGAAGATGGCCGTGAAGACGTTGAAGATGACGAACGCCCCGAACACACAAGAACATTAACAACCGATAAAAACATGGAAAAAGTGGAAGAAATGGTTATAAACCATCAGAGAAGTCGCTGATGATGTTGGTATATCGATTGGCTCATCCCATGAAATGTTTTCGAATGTTTTGGGTATGAAACGCGTGGCAGCAAAATTTGTTCTAAAATTGTTAAATTTTGAACAAAAGTTTTGGCCAAAAACAATACTGTAATAATGCTCCATCCTCCCTATTTGCCAGACATGCCACTGTTTGACTTTTTCCTATTCCCAAAAATAAAGAGAACCTTAAAGGGCCGTCGTTTTGCAAGCATAGATAACATTAAAAGCGCATCGCTGAAAGAACTAAAGGCTATCCCAAAGATCGAGTTTTAGAAGTGTTTCGAGTATTGGAAGAAGAGCTGGCACATGTGCATAATATCCAATGGGGATTATTTTGAAGGCGACAATATTAATGTAGACGAATAAATAAATATTTGTTTCAAAAAACGAAAATTCCCGATATTTTCTGAACACACCTCGTATATACGAGCCCTAACCACATAATGTTCGGACACTTCATAATTTATACAGAAATTTTTTTCGTGAATACTATCTCAAAATTATTAGAAGTTATGAAAAATTCAGCTTATTTTGGCATATACCCCTCGAAGCGATTTTTATTTTTAAAAAGTTTACCTTTTATTTTTAGCTTTTAAAAAAAGGCTAACTTTTTAACTTTTTTTTGTATGAGTAAAAAAAGTTATAAATGGACCCATTAAAAAGAGCATAAAATATTATACAAACCCTGAAAATTTGGTAAAAAATAAATAAGTTATAAAAAAGTATAAGTAATTTAAAAATGCTATTTTTAAAGAGTTTTTGCAATTTTCTTAGGAAACGGGAGATTTTGCAGATATATATATCGCTATAACTTTCTTATTATTTATACAATTTTTACCAAATTTTCAGGGTTTGTATAATATTTTATGTTCTTTTTAATGGGCCCATTTATAAATTTTTTTACTCATGCAAAAAAAAGTTAAAAAGTTAGCCTTTTTTTAAAAGCTAAAAATAAAAGGTAAACTTTTTAAAAATAAAAATCGCTTCGAGGGGTATATGCCAAAATAAGCTGAATTTTTCATAACTTCTAATAATTTTGAGATAGTATTCACGAAAAAAATTTCTGTATAAATTATGAAGTGTCCGAACATTATGTGGTTAGGGCTCGTAGAAATATATACTTTTTCTACGTTTTCAAAAAATACCATAGAAAAATAATTTAATTTGGAGAAAGTAAGGTTGGATCGGTCTAAAAGTTGTTAGATATTACCTAAACACAGAGATGGCGCCACTAGTGTTTATTTCGTCATCCGATGATAGAATATTTTATTTTTAACACTGTATGAAATATACATATGTAATTCCATATTTAAAAGTGATGTTAGAACGGTCATATTCCGTAATAGGAGTAGAAAATACTATTTCTAATAAACTGCTATTTATTTATTTATTTAGTATTTTATCATATATATGATAAAATACTACAAAAAAAAATAAACGAAATCTATTATGTAAGCTATAAATACGGTAAAAGTACAAAAATGGAATAAATGTTAATTAGTGTTTATAGGTGGAATCATTTTATTTTTTCACCTACTGAGTTATCAAACCCTGTAAATTGTTAAATAAAGATCTAAATTATTTAATTTCTTAACGTATAAAATCCATAATGGGAGTAAATAAAATCCAATGAATAATAAGGGCAATCTCTCAGGGTAAATTTAATCTATAGTAGTTTAAAGCTCAACATTATTTCATGATGAGTGAGAGAATGAAACGTAATTGGATTGCATTTTTGTGGATTAAATGAACCTCATGATGGAAGGTGTAAAACTTGCTAAACCGGTTGTACCTACCATAATCTATGGCATATACCATTTGTTCTATGGGTTGTATGAAATAATAAATAAATTTGGCTTAATTTGGACTTAATTTTTGAAATTGGATATTTAATTTATATAAAATTAACATTAACTAACTATTGCTTATTAAATATTTAACTTACTGCGATGCTGGGGAGGCCCAAGTGACTTCATCAACATTACGCCTAAAATATAAACAATTTTTTTCAATATATTTTATACAATACTAAATGGAATTTTTATAAAACAGGCAGTAGAGATGATTGATTATCGTCTAGGTTATAAAAATTATTTGGATGTTTTTACCCACTAGTCTGTAAAAAACCCATTTGGACCAATCAAAAAATTAGGCCACTGTTATTTATATCTAACCTTACTAATTTTAAAACTATTATAATTGTACGTTTTATGTATCATTTAACAAATAAAATTGTGTCATTAAGATAAAACATTGTATGCCATTCAGCTGAGAAGTGTCTTTTTGTGCTTCGCTCGATTATAGGCTTCCGCTACGCGTCGGCCTACAAACTTTGAGCTAAGACTCACTTATCAGCCTTACGACATACACAAATATAAATTTTTATTTTTAAACGTTTTATAATTTAAACCCTATTACTGATTGCTTATCGCCTGGGCTGTATAAATCATTAAGACCAATTGGGTTAAGTTTTTACTTTCTAGGGGTCTATTTTGTAACTCTTTAGTCATTAATAACCCTGGGTTATAGGTTTATTTATAACCAAATCTATATAATTTTAACTCTAAATCGTATTCTGTAGTTATTACGTATAAAATATCTAATTAATTTTGAATATATTTCTATGAAAAAAAAATAGAAGAAAACCAATAATTGATTAGAATAATACATTTTTTTTATAAAACAGTCTGGATTTGCATTCTTGGGAAGATTTAAGACAATATTTTATTTTTGTTTATTGAGGAATGTAATAAATTTTAATTTATTATGTTTTGTTCGTTGCAACAATACCAGTAGGTACATGTTTTTCTTAGCGTTTTACTCGTAAATTTAAATTAAGTTTTAAACTGATTCAGGCACTAAACATTTACATCATTTATTTCAATTAACTGAAAACATTGTTACAGTATGAAGTACAATACCGTTTCTTTTGTTGTAAATTTATCCTTAGGTACAATCTAATGCCTTAATTTGTGGAAAACTATTTTAAATGGTGGATTTTCTCTCGTACCTGTGTGAAATTGACGTAAGCACGTTCGCATTATTATCTTCTCTATAGAATTCCACCAGTTTGATGACGACCGGCGTAACGATGATGAACAATAAAATTAGGAAAAAGCATGAAAAAGAAATTCCATTCTGAAAAGTAATTGATTTATGAGCGAGCCGTCCACAGAAAATTTATAACGAGCATCCTACTAAAGTACAGAACAGTCGTATCTATATCGCTTTTACAATTAATATTTGAGTATAATTATTAATTTATTTTATTATTTAACTAAATACAGGGTGTTTTGTGTCATGAAACAACCAAGAAGTTTTTGAATTTTGCTTTGCTTTCAAATTTATTGATTTACAACTTTTACAATTTAAAAAGAGCTAATTCTCCTGTCCTGATAAAGAAAGTGAACATTTTGAGTAAAATCGAGAAATCAAACGAAACGCGTTTAATGTATGCTATATTTTAATATGGAAAAAACGTTTAAAACTAAATTAAACAGGCTATTTTCATCAGTTAAACAAATGGTGAAAATATCAATTTCTTACACGCAAAATTGTAGATATGTTGCTTTAACATAAATATTTATTCAAAAAAACGCAGTATCACGGTATCTACGGTAGTACCTGGACAAGTTTTCGTTAAATGTACATTTGCTGTCCCCAGCTAATTTTATTTTTAGTTTTGACTTTTGTTGATAATTTTTGTATTTATTATATTTAAATACCCCTTTCCTGTTAGGGCCCAACCTTTTTTTTATTTACTTTGTGTTTCTATAAATTGCAGAAATACTAAAGTAAATGTCCTGTAACCTAACTGTCCCCAGTGACGATTTTTTAATTTAATTTATTATATTTATCTTGTTTGCAGCTTTCTTATAAAAAATAAATTAATTTTGAACAATGGAAAGTTCTTTTTTTCGTATATAAAACTAAAATAGTTTTCAACAAAGTAGTTTAACCCCCAATTTTTGTATCATAAGTGGTCGCGCGGTGCACTAAGTGCTCCGCTCCTTAAAATGACTATATTGCTGAATGTTTTCAATTTTAATATTACTTTTGCTTATATTCGGATGGATTAACTCTATTTTTATTAAAACACAATATTTATTTTAAAAAGAAACAAAAAGCAAATAACAAAAAATAAAACAAACAAAAAAGTTATTACTTCTACTCAGAAAAGAAGAAATCAGAATGAAATTTAGCCGTCCTATTTTTATTTGTGTATTCTTAGAAAAATGTATACCTTAAAAACCATTAGGTTTTAAATTCCATATTTTGTTGATTTAGAAATATTTTACATTGCAAAAATTAAAATTTAGTTACGTTTTAGTAAAGTATTTCTAAATCAATCTCAAGTTTTCTGTCTATAACTTTGAAATTAGTAGTTTAAACTGAATATGCCGTCGACAGTGCATGGTAGACACATCAGTCATAGGTTACATGGAAAGGGCATTTAATTCCAAGAAAACGACAAAAAGTTATAGAGGTTTTAATAAAAACGGAGCACTCAGTGCACCTACGCGACTAGTTAAGGGTTAAACAGAAAAAATATTAAAGTTCACATTCAAAAATCTTGTCTTTTTCCCAACGTCTTCTTCTATGCCGACTGCTTCGAAATAGAGACACGAGATGGAGATTCTATCGTGTTATTTTTAGAGAGCATCCAGTTTCATAGTTCGGTAAGATTTTTTTGCGTATACTTTGTGGTGTCTTTACAAAACGCTACATACACCTCTTGTTTTACAAGTTACCTTTTTTATTTTCATTTTGTATTATAGCATAGTAGAAATGCTAAACAAATGCCGACCTTTAACAGTATTTCTGAAAAATAACGTTTGAAAAAGTCAAAAGCAATGTGTCATAAACCCTTCAGGAAGATGCGTTAGGAGGAGGACAATGTTTCATTTCTTCCTTGTGTTCCTTCCCTATTTCAGATTAACCCTATAAGTTTTATTTCTTTAAAGTTTATTTTTTGCAGTCTATTCCACTGTTCTATCACAAATCGATCAAATTGACCTACTTGGACAAAATATATATACAAAATGTACATTTAACGAAAAGCAGGACAGAGGCGCAAACAACGTCGAGTTTCCTTAGGCAGAACGTTAATCAGGATTTTGGTCTAAACTCATCAGTGTTGCCAACTTCCATAACCATATATATTATATATAATATATAATATTATATATAATAGTACAACATGTTTTAAAATAATAGTACATGAGCTTAAATAAATAGTACACTGTTTAAAATTTTTGTGGTGTATAAAGTAATCTTAAAATGGTGTCAAAATCCAACACCAAGTGGTGTTAATATAACACCATGAATTATGGTTGAAAATCGCGGCAAAGGCGGTGTGGATCACGTGATGTTCTTAAATCTCGCCTCTGTTGACTTACATGAAGAATATATAAACTCAGGTGATCCTTTGCTTTGGTGTGACACTACAAGTTGTTCAATACTAAAGAGACCTTAAATAGGTGGAAACAGCTGTCAATACTTGAAGTATTTTAAGTTAGTGAAACGCACTACAAACATTATCTCTAGCGAGTTGAAGGTTCCATTTTCTGGAATATACTAGTAATGCGTCAAGGAACTTCCTGTTTCCTTTTTTTATCCTTTTTTTGTAGTATGATTTAATTTGACCACAAACACATAATATTAAACACTGAAAAGGAGTTCAATTTACACACCAGGTAAAATTTATTTTAATACTGTGTGAAAGTTAAATTAACACCATTTAAGTATTTGAATTAACACCGGGCCAACGGACCACATTTAACACCATTTTGGTTTGTATCGATATAGACCATATATGGTGTTAATTTGGTGTTAAAATGGTCATGAAATTTTGAACAGTGTACATTTTTCAGGGATGTAGCGGCGTGATACGGGACGTTTCGTTGCTTAAAAGGAAGTATTAATTTTAAACTTTGAATGCTCCTTTTTTAGTGCACGTGCCTTGTAGTAGATATTAAAATGTTCCACACCGTAAGGAATAAATGGTCACCTATGTTCTCTAGTCGACATCGCAACTTTTATCCCGAACCTTCATCTTTAGGCGAGATGTCACCAGTGTGGACCTCGTTCCCCACAGTTCAACGTTAACGTTGACAAACTAACAGTAACTGCCCTGTTAAGGTCGCGTCATCACAATAATTTGCATAAACTTTTAAAAGAAACAATGCCTTATCTTGTAATTATTTGCTACTTCAAAGCCGAACAGCGTTTTTTCCCAAGCTCTTTTTCCCAGGGCGTATCTCACTAAAAGCTTGCTAATTAAATTAAATTGTGGTAAACTAAAAACTGTATTTAATAAAACAAGTAAGTTAACAGAGGTCCAAACTTGGGTAAGACGATCACGCTCCAAAGTCACAAAATAGTTCATTTATTAATTTTTCATAAAACTTGTTTTAAACGAACCGGGTGTAAGAAGAAATCTTTACAATATTTACAATATGTAAAAATTTTGCTGTAAGATGAGTAAAATTTTGAAAAATACAAAAAGAGGTATTCTACATTTTTAATAGATTTTATATTAAAATAAACCAAAACATAACAGTGATCAAATGAATATATATTTTGATAGGTACCCATATTCTTTTTTTATGTTAAACATTAAATCCATAGAAAAATAATCACAGAACAAACTATCAAACAATATAGGTTTTGTGTTCAGTTTAAAAAAAGACATATCCATGAATAGTACGAGTTGTTCCTTAGATAATAGTATTTTTGGCGGGTTGTGGATTTTGGGTATACCGATACCTCAGTTATCGGTTTACCCAAAATCCACAATACATGGAACCCACACCAAACTTATATGAGTTTATATTGACATTAAACAGACAAGTTCTGCGCAAGCAGAATTTAAATTGAAGTTTGCGAAAAAAAGTAAGTTTTTCTGCGCGCATCACCAGCCCCCTGCCACCCCTAATTAAGATTATTCAAATTAACAATTCATAATTCACTAAAGTTTATTCACAAATTTCAAAATTTATTTTAAAAATCCATTTTATACCATTTTTTATTTTTTTAAATTTTAGTTAAAAGAATAATAAAAACTTAAAATGGTATCAAATCTTTTTAAATAAGTTTTGAAATTTGCCGATAAAATGTAGTGAATTATGAATAATTATTGCACCACTTAAAGTTGAATAATCTTAATTAGGGGTAGCAGGGGGCTGCTGAGGGGCGCTGAAAAACCAACTTTTTTTCGCAAACTTCAATTTAAATTTTGCTTGCGCAGAACTTGTCTATTTAATGTCATTATAAACTAATATAAGTTTGGTGTGGGTCCCATGTTTACTAACTGAGATATCTGTATACCCAAAATCCACAATCCGCCACTGGGCGGTAGTACATATTACATATAGTACAAATACTATCCTAATAGTATGGTTGCCCACACTAAAACAGGGGTATACAGGGGTGACTCGCAAACAAATGGGTCACACTATACAGTCTTTATTTATTGTGCGATTTTAACCGTGTTTTGTTAAAGTGTAGATCTTAAAACGCCATATTTTTGTAAAACACAAGGCCTACTGTGTCAGTTTTTGAAAGTTAATTTTAAGGAATTGATATAAGCGAAGAACAAATAGGAAAATATATTGAAATAAATGGTGGATTCTTGGCCAAGTTGCTTTAGCGAATAGTAAAAAAACGGATTTTTAGTTTTATTTTTGAAAATTCCTAACACGAAAATTAAACTAAAAGAAAAATAATTACCCATTTATTTTTTTTATTAATAATAACAAAAAAATGTTGGGCTCGAGAAGAAATCGAACCTTTCTCCTATAACATATTCTGAAATATAAAAGATAAATTGGATTCTTTTTTCTGTTTAATGAATTTTTAATTTAATTGAATTTAACACACAACACATGAATCAATTTATTATATATATATATATATATATATATATATATATATATATTTATGATATAAGTAAATACAGATATTTATTATATTATATTTATGATATAAGTAAATACAGAAAACTTTTTTTTAAAGAAATAACATTTGTTTATGGTTAAATTTTATTAATGGCGTGATAAAATAATAATAACATTATGCGACAAATTTGTGGTGACCAATTTTAAACCTAATTTTACTGATTTTTCCTGAAAGTATACCTAGTTAATAATAAAACTTTCACTGGGTTTTTAAACGAAGCCTAATTTTTTTTCATGGCCTTATAAAGTTTAAGATAATTTAATGTAAATTACGTCTAATTTTACCCTTTGTAAAAAATTGTTCTTCTTAAAATATTTTTTTATTAATAAATATTTAATGCAATCAAATTAAGTTTTTAGGATCAATGTTCTTATAAAATTGCTTTTTTTCTCTTTCTTTAAGAGGATAAAAAATAAATTTGTAGCCCTAGGAAATAAATTTTTTGTTTTTTTTTGCCGTTTTATAATTGTAGTCGCAAATGTATAACTTGCGTTATTAAACGTCAATTAAGCTAGTGTTATTATATTTTTGAAAAAATTCTAGTTAAAATAATAAAAACAAAATTTAATGTTAATTTTTAGGTAAAAAAAAGGATAAAATGCAATTTTATGAACAATTGACCCTTAAAACTAAATTTGATTGCATAAATTGTTCATAAAAATAAATTATTTTATAATAATAATAATAATAATAATAATAATAATAATTTTATTTCTGCTATTGCCTAATAGGTTTACATCGTCAAATATACAGTGGAGTATGTTAATTCATACAATAATTAAATAATTTTAATAATACATGTTAAATATAATAAAAACACTAACAAAACACTTTAAAAAAATATTGCTGATAAATATTGAATATGTTTAAGATAAAATTCAAAACTAAATTTAAAATAATAAGAAAAAAAATTCAAACAATAAAATTAAAATTAAAAAACTCATTAGAGTCGTAAAAAACATTATTTTTAAGAATGGAGACTACTTTTTGTTTAAAAGAATTAAGGGGCAGTTCCTTTATTTTATTAGGTAATTTATTATAAAATTTAATGCCCATAAAATCGGGAGTCCTTTCACTTCTTCGAAGTCTACTAAATTTTGGTATTAGTTCACCTTTGTTCCTTGTATTGTGATTATGTTGTATTATATGGGAATTATACAATCTTAAGTTATTTTTAATATATAAAAGATTTTGCAGAATGTAAATGCTTGGGAAGGTCAATATTCCCAGTGCCCTGAAGGCCCCTCTACAGTCATCGCGATACTCAAGTCCGGCGATGATCCTAATAACTTTTCTTTGAAGCGAGAATACTTTATGAGCTTCTGCTGCATTACCCCATATCAATATAGCATATGACATTATCGAGTGACATAATCCGTAATATGCAGTTATTAAAACGTTGGTTGAAACATTTAAATTTCTAATTAGAAATATATTTGTGGAAAGCTTTTTGCATATTTTATTGATATGGGTATCCCACTTTAATTTAGGATCTATATGAACTCCCAAGAATCTCACTGCACTCCGAAGACCAATGTCATGCTCTCTCAACGAGAATACAACTACGTTTGTTTTATCCTCATTTAACAGTAAGTTATTGCTCAGGAACCAGTTTTTGGCCCTTGACTGCATCTCATTGGCCTGTCTCTTAAGAGCCTCTAAATCTCTGTGCCTCACCGAGATTGTTGTATTGTCCGCAAAGAGAACATGACTTATCATTGCTTGATGGTATGGTAAGTTATTAATAAAAATTAAAAATAGTAGGGGGCCAAGTACGGAGCCCTGCGGCACCCCTATTGTCATTATTCTCCTTGAAGACGTTACGCCATTTACCCGACATACCTGGCCTCTATCGGTGAGATAGGAATCAATAAGTTTCAAAGCACTTTCAGAGAACTTATATTTAATTAGCTTTTGTATAAGCAAGTCATGAGAGATGCAGTCAAAGGCTTTACTTAAATCACAGAATATTGTGTAGTTATATTCAAGTTTTTCAAAAGCTTCCAGGATACTTGATGTTAAATCAAGTATACCTGAAGTAGTACTGTGTTTCTTTCGAAACCCATGTTGACACTGTGAAAACATTAAATGTGATTCAAAATGCAGTGAGATTCTCGAAGCCATACACCTTTCAATGATTTTTGAAAATATCGGTAGTAGAGATATTGGTCTGTAGTTATTTTTATTATTCACCTCGCCCTTCTTGTGTATGGGCACTACCAGAGCCTCCTTCATCACGCTGGGAAATGAACCCTCCTTAAAACAAGCATTAATTAATTTTGTCATTGGAATAGCAATGAGATATTTTATGGATTTTAAAAGATTTGTATTAAACCCATATAGGTCTTTACTATTACTATTTTTTAGTCCTTTGATATAATCCATAACTTCAACAAAGGAGACCTGAGAAAAGTTAAAGTCTGTATTTGGTACTGATACGTATTCAAAATTTTCAAAAGGATTGCGTGCTTGCTGGTTGACATTAATGTCTTTTATTAAATCTTTTGCTATATTTACAAAAAACAAATTAAACTCCTCTGCATTTATAGTACAGGAAACTTCTGCTTTTTGTTCATGTCTGCTTTTATTAATAATGTTCCACATGCTCCTGACAGAGTTTCCAGAGTTTTTAATTATTCTATCATTATAAACTTTTTTTGCATTATTAATTGTTTTTCTATATGTACTTCTAAAAATATTTTTTTGTTGTAATAATTCCTTGCTTAGTGTCCGTTTATATATTTCATCTAGAAAGTGTAGATGCTCTCTCATATTTTTTATTTCTGAAGTAAACCACTTATTGTTGTTATTATTATTATTTTGATTGGACTTTATAAGGACTTTTTTCTCCGGAAAACATCTATTAAAAGCACTAAAAACATCATCAGCAAACATAGAGAACTTGGCTTCAGCACTAACACTATTATAATTAACATAGTCGAAGTTTAACTTCTCAATTTCTTTAAAAAACAGAAACTTACCCTTTTCATTAATTTGTCTCAATGTTTTTGTTATTGGTTTTGTGTTACAAGTATTTATACTTATATTTAGACTTAATAACTGACCCATATGATCTGATAAACAGGTATTTATTGTACAAGCTTTAGACTACTTTTGAAAATTCATAAACACATTATCAATACAGTTATTAAATCTTGTTGGATCATAGATCATTTGTTTAAACCCAAAGGTTTGAAGTAGGTTTATTAAAAGTGGACCATTTTTGTCATTTGATAAAAAATTTACATTAAAATCTCCAACTAAAATAATGATTTTTGCTTGAAGTGTCAGAAGGACGTATTCTAGATTTATTAGAAATAAATTAAAGCATCCTGAAGGGGATCTATATACATTAAGAATACAAAATTGTTGTGAAAAATGATCTACCTTTATAGCGCTAATTTTAAATAGTTTTTATATTGACAGAATATTTATTTGGTCTAAAGCTGTAAATCTAAGATTGGGATTTGTTAATATAACAACACCGCCTCCTCTAGAAACACCTCTGGCGAAAGAGGAAGCATGCAAATAACTATTAATATATAGTGTTTTACACTCTGCCTCCGTCAACCAGTGTTCACAGAAGCATAGGCAGTCATAATTTTTGTCTACTAAAAATAGATCAATTTCATTGATTTTATTTCTTAGAGATTGCACATTTAAGTGAAATATTCGAAAAATTTCACTCTTAGTTAAGTTTTTGTGTTTTGAATTCTCCTTAGGTTTAAAAAATAATTTACACTTATTCCTTCTGGCCAGAGCTCCGGATTTAAAATACTTTCAACATCATTTTTTTGGACTCCAACTTTAAAGGCACTTTTGTATTTATTTTGTTTTAAGTTAATTTTTTCACATACAGTTTCTACGATTTTGTGGTTTTCTAGATAACTTGTAATATTTTCTTCAGTTGCAAATCCTGATATAAATATCCATGTTTTATTATTAGTTTTGGCTACAGCTAACTCTTTAGTTTCTTTTGCATTTCCTCTTACTGGTTCTGGTCTTTGTGTTTTATCAAGATGTTTACCTTTCTTCTTTACTACAGTTGCCCATTGTTCTTTATCAGCTGTGGTTTCTACAGTATTTACATTTTTTGTTTATTCTGATTTGTTTACACTTTGTTTATCTTTTAGTAATAAAAACCCTTTTTACAAAGAATCGAAACGAGAAAAATCAATTACTTTGGCAAAATATTTCATTTTTAAGAAAAAAAAATCGAGCTAACTTTTACAAACCCAGCGAGGGTTTTACTATTAAATAGGTATACTTAAAAAAACTGGTTTAAAATTTTGTGTTGCACTGTGCATTTTTTTGTTTTTTTATGGATATTTTATTTTGTTTTACTACCTTAGTATTTGATGATCAGGAAAAAATTGTCCCGGTATAACATTGACAACATATCTAAAATTGTATTTTCTTTAAATATTCAATAGTATGACCACCCTGTATTTTGTCATTATAAAAAAACAAATTTTAAGAAACCCTACAGCCGGGTTAAAGCTGAGCAGACAATGTTTATGAATGTGCAATAAGTGGATTAACTTTGCACTAAACTTATTTTAGACTAGACCTTTAAATTAGTTGATAATTCTTAATATGAGTCAATATTTTATACCCAAATATTTAAATTATGTTACATTTTGCAAGCATACCAATACTTTTTAGCCTGTTTACTCTGCAAATACAGTAATTTAGGAAGTACATATTAAATTAATACCCACCAATGGATCAATAATTTGTTGGCAAAGGTAGTGCCTAGACAAATAGAAAATATCCCACAAAGGCCTGCATTTTCCGATCTGCTTCGTTAATTTTTCGTTAACATGATTATACAAATCTTCTAAGTAAGACTCGATTCGTGCAGTAAATTGTTTGCCAGTCTGGAAAATCAAATAATGCAATTAGGTAATAAATTGAATTTATTAGGAAATAGACCGAAATGAAAAGCATTTAAAACTCCCAGGAGTTGAATTTAAACTTTATATCCATCCTGTTTATTTTTATTTTGGCACATTATCGTTCAAAAGTAATGCAACTTTGATAAAAAACCTTCTTCTAATTATCTTAGGTTGCCAAATAATGCATGTTTTAGATTTTATTTATAAGCTTAATAAACAAAGTACTTTGAACAAATTGTGATAGTCCTAAGATTATTAAACTTATATTTACGTTAACACAGAAACATCTTTAGGCGAGCCAAAAAATATCTTATTCCATTACGTTCAATACTGAGCCGAGCAAAAAAAACATCATCTTTAAAACGATAGTGTATTTGTATTCCTACCTTATCAGCAATTTGCCATCCTTGATTATCTAAAAAAAACTGTATAGTCTTTAAATGTGATAATGATTGATTTGCCTGCTTATTTAAAGGCACCAACAAAACTTCCAAAGCAGTAATTTTAAAGATCATTCTGTTTCTTATATCCACCAATTTTTGCATTTCAGTTTGAACCGCCTTTCTGACCATATATGCAATATTGTCTATTTTTCTGCAAACGATCGGATCGCTTAATTGTCTAGCAACAGTATTAAGTTGATCCGCAAAAGATCCAAGGTCACGTTTCGTAATGGCCTTGGACAGTTGCGTCCTGTGCGAAGTTAAATTAACGTTGGATACTGAAGATAGAACCTAAAAGTGGGTATTATCAGGCAGATTATGTTACAGTTACAAAAGGATTTAGATAAATCCCGCATTTGAAACTTGTTAAGGACAATAGACTTTGACCCTGAAGATAGCGTCGGCTTTAGGAAAATGGCGTCCTGGATGAAAACTTTATAGTTGCCCACAATTTCACGTTGAATGTTTTTTTCTAATTTTATAATAACCTGTAAGGTATATTTTAGTAGTTCCTATTTCTTCGAGTTAGTTATAATTTTATGGCCATATCTACTTGTTATACTACTATTATACCTCTTTATAAACTATCGTTATATACACAGACAAAATAGACTTGCCCTGTTCAGTATCGCTAACATGAAACCAGCGTGCCATAAATCGGAGAAGGGGGGCAAGGGAATGTATACATTATATTATATATTATATAAGAGAAGATATGTATTCTGCCAGGCCCGTATTAAATAATTTCGTACGAGCGGTATCTAATTTAAAATATTCCTAGTGGATTATCAAAGAAATTCATCTAGTTTTACGCTCCAGAATGAACGAAGTACGGCTCTGTGCACAGGAGAGAACAATACAACATCTGTGTGCGCACGCAAGGTATTGACATGCAAAATTAATAAAATCGCTTAAAATTTATCTCGTAATTACTACTTACTGGAAAAAGGAAATTGGTTGAAATTGGCTGGAACTAGTTTCACTACGACTAGGACACACTTTGACAACACATTTACCCATAATGTTCAAAGAATTTTACATAAATAATATATCCTCACAGGTCAACTGCTCAAATATGAATGATGCGAACTGGAAAACAGGCACCCGTTCAGGCACCCGCCCGGCCGTATCATTTTCTCCCTAAGGCAAGTCTATTTTGTCTGTGGTTATATATATGCCTTCTTTTATTAACAAAAGTCTGAGTAATTACGTAACAAAAATAGTGTTTTTTGCAAAGCCATTTGTAAAATTTGTTTAAAAGCAAATATTTTATTTATTATTACTCTTCATATGTAAAATGTAAGATAAACAGCCTGTTATCGCACAGAAAAATCTTTTTCATGCGACTATAGTTATTATAATAACATGTTTTATACACTCACAGGCAAAATAATCGATCCACACAAATTTTCGATGAATTTTAATCTCAAATAACTTTTTTATATCATTTCGGATTTAAACGAATATTAAAGAATATTGTAAATAGATTAATGGAGAATCGCTCACATTTTAAAAAGTTACTGAAAAATAGTCGTACGTAAATAATATACAGGTTTAAATAAAAAGTTTTTTACCATACGTTTAAGACACTCTGTAGTGTGGCAAAACCGTATGTTGTTTTAAATTAAGTTTTATTTATCAAGTCACATCTATTCTTAACAGTCTTATTTTTTGTTCATCTCGATATATTTATTTTTGTGGAAAATATGGATTGTTTAAGAAAACATTGCAATTTTCAATATTTTTTCTGTTCGAAGAACTAAGGTTGCTATGGTTCCTCCATAGCCTATGTAGGATGACAGTGACAGTTTTTTGAATCATCCCAAACTTGGACATGTCATATATAGCTTTTAAAAGCTAACAAATTGTTTTTTGTAAATTAATATTTTACTTTACGTGACAAGTGTTTTAAACGTCACAAGAAGTAAAGTACAACGGGCGGCATCAGTTGGAGACATATCCATGTTTAAAAGTAAGAAGACACCTTAAAAGTAACACATTAATTGACAAAAAAACAATTTAATAGCTTATTTATAATAGCCGTATATGACATGTCCAAGTATGGGATGATTAAAAAAAACTGTCACTGTCATCCTCCATAGGCTATGGATGGACCATAGCAACCTTAGTTCTTCGCACAGAAAAAATATTAAAAATTGCAATGTTTTTTTTTAAATCTATATTTTTCACAAAAATAAATATATCAAGGCGAACCAAAAACAAAACTGTTAAAAATAGATGTGACTTAATAATTAAAATTTTATTTAGAACAATATACGGTTTTGCCACTCTACAGAGTGTCTTAAACTTTTGGTAAAAAACATCTTTTTGTTTAAACCTGTATATTATAAACATACGTCTATTTTTTAGTAATTTTTTAAAATGTGAGCGATTCTCCATTAATTTATCTACAATTTTCTTTGATATTTGTTTAAATCCGAAATTAAATAAAAAAGTTATTTGCGACTGAAATTCATCGAAAATTTGGGTGGATCGATTATTTTGCCTGTGAGTGTATATATTTTTTAAGATTAAAATTAATTTTAGTTTTATTACCTAATACAAATTTATAAATAACTCCATGTATGTTTTATTTTATTTTCAAAATTTTTATACCAAATTGTACAAAAAAGTTTTAATAAAAAATAATCGCTCTCTTCTAAAGCCCCTAATGTAATTTTTTTTATTTACCTGCAAATTAAGTTGCAAAGCAGGTGTTAAAATGTCTATATGTCCATTACCAACAGTAAAATTTAACAATAATAATTTAAAATCGTCCCAATTTTTGTAGTTTATTAGTTTGTTGATGTTAAATTGATTGTATAGATGAAAAGTTGAGTAGGCTACTTCGTCTCTCTGGCAATTTCTGCAAAATAAAATTCTAATAAATCATTTACAAAAGTATATTATTACACGAGTAAATAATACGCATTTACTCGAGTGTAATACCATGTTTTTTTACTCCAATTAAGTAATTTTTATTATTATAATAATTTATTATAACCTCGGCCATTCCAAGCCCATGGACAGGACACATCAAAACATGTCTAAATTATATTCTTGTTACTTCCTTAAGTTTACTTATTTTTTCTACGAGTATTTATGAGAAGTATTAGCCAACTTTAAATCGGAGGAAAGTGAGGTCTCACTTTCCTCCGATTTTAAAGATCATTATATAATATATAATATACAGGGTGTTATGTAATTAATGTTATATATTAAAATGGGTTGTTCCTTAGGGTCCATAAAGAAGCACCTGAAACTTTTTTTTTCTAAATTCCAAAGACTAAAAATAATTTATAATAACCTTTATCCTACCAAAAAGTACGTCACTGATCGACTAGGAACTTTAGGGTAATCTGGTTGCCTTTTAATTTATTATGTTATGGTTTGTAACCCTGGTTGGTAACAACAGCGTTTCCAAATTCTGTCAAAAAAGTTGACAAACATTGTTTAAATTTAGCTTAATTACAAAAATGATAAAATTAACAATGCAAATTGTCAATTTGGCGTTTTTATTAATTGTTGGGTATGTCATTTTTGTACTGAAGGTAAATTCAAACTAAATCTGCCAACTTTTATGACAGAATCTAGTGCATTTCTTTCAAATTTTAGGTTATGTGCTCAAATTGTAAATATTTTAACTAAGGGAAGTGCTTTTGGATTTTTTTACACAAATTAAATGTTTAAAGTTTAACCTGTGAACTGGTTCCAATTTCATCTGAGTAAACAGAAAGAAAAAAACCGAGGAAAAAATTAATTTTGTGGTTATGGATTTTTTTAAATGGGTACTAAATTAATTTTCTAATCATTGCTTAAGCTAATAGCTGGATGAGTAAAAGGTAAAAAAGTCAAGAAAAAATCCACATTTCTTTGCCGCCCTTTTAAAAGGACGGTGGCACTATTTGGGTTAAGGGCATAAAACTTGTATTTATTGAGAATTTATTTATTTTTTGCAAAAAAAATTTTTAGTAACAATTTTTTACATCTGGCAACGCGCAGCTACTATGTACGCACAGAACACAAGTGTGCAGAGATAAACCAAATGGCGTATCACAAAAAATATAAAAAACTTCTAATGCCTATTTTTTCTTTCTTTGGAAAAATATTTTATTTAATATTTTTCTTTTACTCCTTATGTCAAAATGTACACTCAGAGAAATATCATGTCATGAAAAGCATATGAAATGATATTAATTTAAATAATTGGGTAAATTTGATTCAAATAGAAAAAATGTAGTTTTATATTCATTTACCAACAGTTTTACAATGTTTTTAAACACTTTTAAAGTGTACTCTCTTTAAAATATATATACAAAAAGAAATCTATTTATTTCATTGCCTTTCTCAACGTTATTTTAAAAATACACTGCTGTTCATAAGTTAGGGAACCCCCTTTATAGTTAAGACGCCGGTATATTTACTTTTAAATAAGGCAACTTTCTAAAATTTCAAATTAATATATTTTTATATTATAACATTATGAATAAACTGGTATTTTTTGTATGTTTTGTTTAATTTTAAGGTATTTTACTAAACTGAAAATGCTCTGACAAAAAAATTAATTCGGTTGTAATTTTACAGAAGGTTCCCTAACTTTTAAACAGCAGTTTATATGTATTATACAATTGTTATACACCTTTTAATTTAATGAGAAACACCACAGACAAAATAGACTTGCCCTGTTCAGTATCGCTAACATGAAACCAGCGTGCCATAAATCGGAGAAGGGGGGCAAGGGAATGTATACATTATATTATATATTATATAAGAGAAGATATGTATTCTGCCAGGCCCGTATTAAATAATTTCGTACGAGCGGTATCTAATTTAAAATATTCCTAGTGGATTATCAAAGAAATTCATCTAGTTTTACGCTCCAGAATGAACGAAGTACGGCTCTGTGCACAGGAGAGAACAATACAACATCTGTGTGCGCACGCAAGGTATTGACATGCAAAATTAATAAAATCGCTTAAAATTTATCTCGTAATTACTACTTACTGGAAAAAGGAAATTGGTTGAAATTGGCTGGAACTAGTTTCACTACGACTAGGACACACTTTGACAACACATTTACCCATAATGTTCAAAGAATTTTACATAAATAATATATCCTCACAGGTCAACTGCTCAAATATGAATGATGCGAACTGGAAAACAGGCACCCGTTCAGGCACCCGCCCGGCCGTATCATTTTCTCCCTAAGGCAAGTCTATTTTGTCTGTGAGAAACACCAATGACGCCAAAACATATTTGAATCCCTTTGAATTATTATCGTTTTGAATGAT